GCACCCGGCCATCAAGTCCCATTTTATATATAAAATGGCATAAATGCATATTTGCATATAACCTATGCACACCCTCCCACATAAATCATCTCTAGATTATTTATAATACCTGGTACAGTGCTGACACATTACTTTATTCCCATGGATTCAATGCAGTACTCAGCATGCCGCAAATTCAAAGTTTGCTTTTTGGAACTTTGTGGAGTTTCTTTTCCCTGAGTATGTTTGATCGGGGTTGTTGGTGGGATCCACAGACGCAGAACCCACAGATAGGGAGGTCTCCTAACTGTAGAGGTCTTCCAACTGACAGTACGACGCACACCTGACAATGGTCATGACACTGTGACTTTGAACTGCGTGAACTTCATGCAGCAAACAGGTTTCTTCTCTGCAACATCCTTTTAGTTTCCTGCGAGCCTAGCTGTGGGCCAGATATCCAAATGCTCATGTCGCAAACAACTGTGCAGCATAATTTACAATCCCAAAGAGCCCCCTACGTTGGCTCTTTTGGAAAACAAGTCACTGCTAGGTCCCTGTGTACAGATCGTAGGAGGTAAGCTTAGAGCCTTTGTATAGCTCAGTCTGGAGACTAAAATGTGCGAGTAAAAACTACAAACTGCTTTGCTTCATTTGCTGTGCCACACGTGGGGCCACTCATCAAGCATAGTTTTTGCGGAGAACTAGCCTAGCGTGTGCCTGGACACACACTGAGGAGTTCAATTCTCAAGCCATCAGAGTATCAGCCATTTTAGGGGGCCTTGCGGAAAAACGACCGAGTATTTTTTCCCAATAAAGCATACTCACATCATCTTTTTGCTCTAAGTGAGGGGTGGGTACCTAGTGGGGTGAAGGTCGGGAGTTGAAAATATTATTTGACAAAATAATTATTTGTGCAAGCTGCTGCACTGGCGGCACAGGTCTGGGATTTGGCACGGAGGAGTACCCGCCTCACGATCTGATACCCGCCACCGAGCAGCCACCACCTGCAGCCCGGGGCCGGGCCCAGGGGAGGGGCGCCAGCAGCCCCTGGCTTTCAGCCACGCTACCTCTCTTCGGGGCACTGGATCAGACACAGTAGATAACCAGCCAAAAAAATTAAAAAAAGAAAGAAAGAAAAGGAAAAGACAAGGGGAGAGGGGATGGGGAGGGAGGAAAAACCTAAAATTTGGACTCAGAGGGTCTTTTCAAATACTTTAATCCTTTCGTACTGATGGTTCCTGGAGCGTCTGGGGCTGGCACCGGACCCTATACCGGGAAAATCCGACTCCCTAAGCCAATGCGTTAAAGAGAAGACTGCTAATCAGCTAAATAGAAACTGGAATCTGTTCACATGAAGTCTCTTTTTTCTTCCATCACCAGAGGGACACCATAGTGTTCTGAAATACACTCTTGACATCATTTGGCAGGCAACCCTATTTTGCTGAACATGATTCATCCCTTAGGTTATTGTTTTTAATATTAGAAAGTGAGCTTTTAAGTGCCAAACAAATTTTGCAGCAGGGGGACAAGAGATATTCCAAGTGGTCTCACTGGACTTTCCACCAACTGTGTCCACCAAATGGCTTAAAAGAAAACCTTCCCGTGGTGCTTCAGAAATGAAGCAGACGCATAGTTATGTCCAACTATTACCTAATACAAGACTTTGTTCTCCAAGTCCGGAGTGTTTACAGGATCAGGGCTGAACTCAGGTGGGCAAAGCAGTAGAGTGAGAATTGAGGAGTGTGAGCAATAGAGAAAATTAGCAAGCATGATGGAGGCCAAGCGGCCAGGCCTCCGCAGAAGCTGCAGGGGCCACAGAGGCTACCTCTTCAACCCAGACATACCTCCTGTCCATGTTGCCACTGACCATGAGGTTGGGAGGGCTGTCCCTGAGGTTGACACAAGTGAAGTCACCAAGAGAATTACCCAGCTTCGAGAGGCAGCGTTCTGCTTCCAGGCTATACACCAGGATCTGATAAAGGAAGAAAAATACGTGGGTGGCATAATTCCATCAACAGACCAACATCCAGCACTTTTCATTTTGCCATCATACAGGGCAGGATCATCGCCACTCAGCTCCTGTTAAGATGTTCTGTGCTTAATTTCTTGACCTTTGCTAGGTTACTGATAGTATAGGGACATGGCTATTAGAATGACAAAAAGAAATGCAAGAAAAGATAGAGGAAAATGCAAAGAATTCTTCATGCCCAGCTGCAAACTCCGGACACAAAGGAAACTGCCAAACAGGGAAATCAGGTATTCTGATTTCTTAACAAAGACAAAAGGTCTGTAAACTAACTAAGGGCCACTGACTGCTTCTGATTTGATTAATGGGAAAGCTAACCAGGGATCAGGAGTTTGCAGATGAGCCGGCATGGGTTCTATTCCTGTATTTATACCACAGAAAGTAAAAGCAACAACACTACAAGTATCGAGGAAGGTGAAGTTTGCATAGTTAGCCATTAGATGATTCCCTTGGACTAAACTATAAACCAAAACACAAACTCTTATTCTCAAACATTTCTCTCTTCAGTCACTCTCCCCTTGCTGATTTTAGGAAGCTCTGTTCCATAAGGTGTGAAAGGAAATCAGAAGGTACCCTTGATCTCTAGACAATGCATTTGTTATATTAGAACATTTCTGTGCCTTCTCCCTAGCAAAAAGAAAAGAAAACCAGATGATTCATAAGGAATCTTCCTGAAGATTAAGTCTTTTACCTAAAAAAAAAAAAATCTTAGTGATTCAACACAATCCCATTAACATTAAATGCTTGCTGTGGACTAGTCTCCATTGTAGGTGCTGAGGATACAGTCCTTGCCCCAAAATTCACAGTTCAGAAGCCTCTTCATTAATACACACACCAAGTTCTAAGCACACTACTGAGCATACTATTTTGTTGATCATGTGGTTAATATTTTAAAATTAATCAGTGAACTCAAAAGTTTTAATAATTTGCAGAAATTTCTCCTCTCAGTACACATATGGAAATAATGTGCTTTCTTTTTCTTGTTAGCCTATATCTTTATCACTTACCAGTGTACAGATTTTTATTTTGGTATTGAGAAGTTAATAATGAACAGTCTCATTCTCAATACATATTTCCAACAAGTGAATCATTGGAAATTCCTAATAGTCAAAACAGCACTATAATATTAACTACTACTAATAGCTTCTGAAAGGAGAGAGAACAATTTTTTTTTTTTTTTTGAGACAGAGTCTCGCTCTGTTGCCCTGGCTGGAGTGCAGCAGCATCATCATAGCTCACAGCATCCTCAAACTCCTGGGCTCAAGCCATCCTCCTTCCTCAGCCTCCTGAGTAGCTGAAACTATAGACATGTGCCACCACACTCGGCCAATTTTTCTATTTTTTATAGAGACAGGGTCTCGCTACATCGCTCATGTTGGTCTCAAAACCTTGCTTCAAGCAATCCTCCCACCTTGGCCTCCCAAAGTACTAGGGGTACAGGCATTAGCCACTGTACCTTGCCCAATTTCAAAATTTAAAATGCCCTCTTAATCCATGAAGACTACAGACAACAAACTAAAATGCAGTTGAAAATAAAAGTTTCTGACTCAGAAAATTTCAACAATTTTAAAATATCCAAAATAAGATTATTCTTCCAAGTTAAGAATATTGAAATAATCAAATCATCTATCTTTAGTACATAAGCTAAAAATTACATAAAATCAGCTCCTGGAGGGAGAAAATAAATGAAAAACAGCAACCTCATGGTCTATCACAGAGGCAATATTCTGTACCTACTCATCATTATGGAACATTCAGTATTTTGGATTCAATATTTCTTGTTTTTAAAATACTTCAACTTTGGCTGGGCGCGGTGGCTCACGCCTGTAATCCTAGCACTCTGGGAGGCCGAAGCGGGCGGATCATTTGAGCTCAGGAGTTCGAGACCAGCCTGAGCAAGAGCAAGACCTCGTCTCTACTGAAAAAAAGAAAGAAAGAAAGAAAGAAAGAAAGAAATTAGCTGGACAACTAAAAATATATATATATATAGAAAAAATTAGCCGGGCATGGTGGCACATGCCTGTAATCCCAGCTACTCGGGAGGCTGAGGCAGAAGGATTGCTTGAGCCCAGGAGTTTGAGGTTGCCGTGAGCTAGGCTGACGCCACAGCACTCACTCTAGCCCGGGCAACAAAACGAGACTCTGTCTCAAAAAAAACCAAAAAAACTTCAAATTCTATACCAGGAAAGTAGGCCTTAAATCAGCAAAATGTCCATGGTAAATATAAGAATTGAAATCTGATATTGGGTAGATTCATATGTTTTTACTTTTCCTGGAAGCTCTTTTTTGTGGATGAATCATTTCTAAGTGATATAGTGAGATCTAATCCCTCTCCAGAAAGACTCTCTGCAAATTCATCATAAAGACATCTAAGTTAGTAGTCAAGAATCAAATAGTTTCTAAAATGTTTAATAATTCAATGACTCAGAACTATCTGAAGAGTACCTTTACCATTACGTTTAGTTAAAGACCACAGAGATTAGAAAACACATTACCCATCTCAAAGGCGGTTCTTTCCATGTTACAAGTCCCTTAACGACCTTTACCATTTCTCTCTCCCTCCTGCTCTCTCTCTCTTTTAATAAGGTTGAGCAAATGGGACTTCATTTTATCTGATTGCCACACACTAGTGAGATTAATTATTCATGCTCACACTCTCCCTCTTGTTAAGGCCATGCATTAGACTAATTTTTCTCTTTATTGCCCTAGTTGGGTAAGTCTCAACTCACAGACACTTGACTCCTCAGAGGTGTGCAGACATGCTGGAAAGAAGAAAAAAACTACTCGTCGCTCAAATCTTAGAGAAAATGTTCTACGCTAATGTGACCGCCAAGTCAATAGATGGTGGGGGTTTTTAAGTAGCAGGTATATATTATAGAAGAGCTTAAACAGTGATTACAGAGCAAATTTTTGACAGGTGTTAGATGTCTCTAACAATGATCTAAAACAGCTAAACCATGTTGAGACTCGTTGTGTGTTTTACAAAGATAACTACAGGAAATTCAGTGTGTAGTCAAATGATGCTATGTGGCTTTCCTTTCTCTTTGGCTTCCAGGTAGATCTGGAAGACAACGGGTAGAAGCAAGCATTGTCTTTAGAAGAACTTTAGCAGAAAATTCTGTCTTTCTTTCTCAGACATCACAAAGTATTTCCATAAATCCTAGTCTCAGAATCTTAACTTTCCATTTTGTCAAATATTCTGATTTCTCTGAAATCTATTTTTTTAAAAATCTTTATTTTTTTAATTTCAAATATAATACATTTTGTAGCAAATTCTAACAATAGAATTACACAAAGAAAGTGGTAGCCCTCTGTATATCCATCTCTCAGGAATAATCCCTTTTAACAGTTTGGTATATATACTTCTAGACTTTTTTATGCACATGTCTGCCTATGTATGTGTCTAAAATTTTTTTCCTAAATGGCATTATTGTTTTACAACTTCTTTTCCCGACTTGTTAGTACCTATAGATAGATCTTTTCTTTGCAATGGCTGCACAGAATTTCTCTGCATATGTAACTCCATACTGATGGATATTTGATTTGTTTATAATTTTTTTAGATAAAATAAATAATGCTGTAATTCATTCAGGAGCCTGTCAGCAAATATTATCAGTCATCTTCTAGGCACCAGGCACTAGAGTGAACGTGTGGGGACCGAGGGTGATGCGCAGAAGCCTCGGCCTGCTGCCAGCTGCAAGGGTCTGCCCCTTTGCCAGCCGGGGCCGGCTGCCAGCTGTCCTGCTCCTCCATACATGGGACCTGCCTCTCTGAGGAGACCCACCCACCCACCGGTCTTATAGCCATGTCCCAGCAGCTGTTGTCTTAGGCAGCAGCAACCACAGGCCCAATATCTGGGAAGCCCAGGCAATGCTCTGGGGCAGGGAGGGCCTGTATCTTCCAGGTCTGACTTTCCAAGCAGACTGTGAGGGAAAGAGCTGAGAAATGGCTATTGTCCTTATACTTGGGTGAGTGTAAGGTAGGCCAGCTTCCGCCTTCATCCGGTAACAAATGGATTTGGCACTGCAAACTTTTCCAAAATCTGGGGCTGATACCACCATCATAATTAAACACGAACCACTTGCAGACGGGAATCGCTGTAAAGAGATTATAGAGCCTTGCCGTCCCAGAATTTTGGTTATGTACTGATGATCGAGGAAAGGAACTCCATACACGTGTTAAGTTTACCAAAAGAGTGGGTCTTCTTCAGGCTCCAGTATCTGCCAGAGGCGCTGAGGGGCTGGCTCACTGCTCAGAAGCCCAGCTCTGCCTGGCCAATGAGTCAGAAGGGGTCGGGAGCCTCCCTTACGAGGCCATAGCATGTTAAAAGCTTTGTGAATTAAAGATTACTTGTCTGCCGCCATTTCAAAAAGGGAAGCGGCAAAGAGAGCAAAGGTTAGGAGATGCTGTACTGGACTGAAGCAGAGTAGAAGACAAAAGGCACAGGAGGAGGATCTGACTGAGATTCTAGAAGAGGACAGAGTCTACCTGCTTTCTTTTCTGATCCCTAACAACCTACCTCCATCACTACCACATCTGTCTGGCTCTTCTCGGGGTGGGGAGCAGGGAGGGTCATAAGCAGCCAAGTGCTAGAGAGTCACGCAGAGATAAACCTCCCGCCCTGTCCTTTTCCAGGCACGCAAGCTCACCTTGCGCCTTCCTCCCATGCCACCCTCAGCACGCAGAGTTCAAGCCCTCTCATCGGTGCTGCAGGCACTTCCTGTCTACACCCTTCATCAGGTGCTCCTATGGGGCCACCCTGATCTGTGCCTTATCTTCCTCCCACTCTTCCCCAGACCTGTGGTTCTCGAACACCGAGGCTCTGGTGTGGCACTGCACCAAGCACCACCACACACCGTGAAACACTCTCCTAGGCTTAGACTATAAGGTTCCTTGGGACAGAAATCCTGTCGTTCGTTCATGCGGCATTTATTAAGGACCAGCAC